TTTGGGAGAGACAAGGCAGTGTGGCCCATATTACCATTACTATAGCAGAAATTACTGCTGTCTGTGGCACCCTAGGACAGAAAAGAAGAAACTTATATTTTGATCTTCATGGAGCAGCTCATTGATCCTGAATCTCTTCTGGTATAGAGGACAGAAATGGATGGAATTTTTCTGCAGGTCTTGGTCCTTCTGCCTGTGAGTGTGGTGGAAGGAGGTACATGGGTGGTGCTGACACCTTTAAAGGCATATTCTCAAGATGTAGGCGTAATTGGTGCAGAAAATGTCATCTGAGCAGGAATTCCAGAGGAGGAAAAAAATTTTTTTTTTTTAGCTAAATGTGTCTCATCAAGAGCTGTGTCCACTCTGCCTTCTGAAATGCCATGCATTTTTACATGCAAACCTTTACTTCTCTACTTGTGTTTTTCCTCACTAATGAGTTTAACTACTTAAAAAATTCTTATAATAGTCAAGGGTCTCTGAAAAATGTTTTTTCCCATATACCAGAGCCTTCTACATCATGGCTTCTTATATGCCATGCAGAATTCTCTTTATGCATTTGTAATCTGCTGTATCAAAAATGTTCCGTTTGTGGCTGGGAAGGTGTGAATACTCAAGATTCCTATTGGAAGAAGAATGGGGTTCTTAGTAAAAATGGAAAACTTGTAATATTGAGGTTCCATCTGTGTTCTTCATTAACTCTATGCAGAACAGGATTAAGAAAATGTTTATTTAAAGAGCATGGCATTTATTACCCAGAAAGTCCTGAAAAAAAAATTGGAAAATACCTGCTCTCTGGAGTGCTAAAGAAAGACTACTTAAAAATCACTATTAAAAATGACAGAACATGGGAGATATCTGTGTCTTGAACTTTGCATAAAACAGATGGTTCTTTATGGTTAAATTCGGACTACAGTTTACTTTTGGGGAAAATGTCTCAGTGGTGATGCTATGTTCTTCTGTGCATCAGCACATCACAAAAATTTGTCCTAGTGCAGTTAATATTAGTGATTCACTTGGTTTAGGAGCCCTGTGACAGATTTTTTTTTTTTTTTTTTTTTTACTAGAAAGCTAATTATTTTTCTTTTCATTGTAAATTATTTTTATGCAGCTGATGTGCATAAACCATCACATTTTATCTGGTAGCTGCCCCTCTTTCTTAGGTTTTCTTTGCATATATCTGTTTTTAGTAAGTGAAAGCTCTCATCATCTTTTACAGTCCAGAAAGACTAGGAAAAACAGGGTCTTTTACTTACTGGATGTTTGACAAAATATTCCTGGGCCAAAAACATTGGCATTACTGGTGAACTTGTTAGAAATTCAGAAGCTAAAAAAATAAAAAAGAAATTCAGAAACTCAGACTTTATTCTAGATCTTCTGAAAAAATAATCTGCATTAACAAGATATCCAGTTTATTCTACACATTAAAATTTGAGAGGTACCTGCTAACTCAACATGTCTTTTTGATCTGAAAAATATACACAGCTCATTCTGTGTGATGTAAATATAGCACTCAAAAATGTACGTTTGTGTTTATGCCCTTAATTTTATACTTTATTCAGAAAAATAGCATATATATACTGATGTTGTGGCTCCTATGCCACTCTCTTTCCTCAGAGTTAGAGAATACATTAGAGATGTCCTTTCTATTTGTTAGTTTTCCTTCTAACAGTCAGGACCCTCCGCTGCAGTCTGTTGGAGTTTGCTGGAGGTTCACTCCAGACCCTGTTTGCCTGGGTATCACCAGCAGAGGCTGCAGAACAGCAAATATTGTAGAATGGCAAATGTTGCTGCCTGATCCTTCCTCTGGAATCTTCATCTCAGAGGGGCACCCAGCTGCATGAGGTGTCAGTCAGCCCCTACTGGGAGGTTGTGTCCAGAATTGGTGGGTTCTTGGTCTCACTGACTTCAAGATTGTCGCCGCGGACCCTCGCGATGAGTGTTACACAGTTCTTAAAGATGGTGTGTCTGGAGTTTGTTCCTTCAGACATTCAGATGTGGCTGGAGCTTCTTCCTTCTGGTGGGTTCATGGTCTCACTGTCTGAAGTGAAGCTGCAGACCTTCATGGTGAGTGTTACAGCTCTTAAAGGCAGCACGTCTGGAGTTGTTCATTTTTCCTGGTGGGTTCATGGTCTTGTTGGTTTCAGGAGTGAAGCTACAGACCTTCGTGGTGTTACAGCTCATAAAGGCAGCGTGGACCCAAAGAGTGAGCAGCAGCAAGATTTATTGCAAAGAGCGAAAGAGCAATGCTTCCATAGTGGGGAAGGGGACCCCAGGGGGTTGCCACTGCTGGCTGTCGCAGGCAGCCTGCTTTTATTCCCTTATCTGACCCCACCCACATCCTGCTGATTGGTCCATTTTACAGAGAGCTGATTGGTGCATTTACAATCCTTGAGCTAGACACAGAGGCTAGACAAAAAAGTTCTCCAAGTCCCCACTAGGTTAGTTAGACACAGAGTTAGCTAGATACAGAGTACCAATTGGTGTATTTACAAAGCTTGAGCTAGACATAGAGTACTGATTGGTATATTTACAAACCCTGAGCTACAGTGTATTTACGATCCTCTAGCTAGACATAAAAGTTCTCGAAGTCCCCACCAGATTAGCTAGATACAGAGTGCTGATTGGTGCACATACAATCCTCCAGCTAGATATAAAAGTTCTCCAAGTCCCCTGGCTTCACATAGTGGATCCTGCACTGGGGCTGCAGGTGGAGCTGCCCGCCAGCCCCCAGCTGTGCCTGCACTCCTCAGCCCTTGGGCTCTGGATGGGACCGGGCACCATGGAGCAGGGGGCAGTGCCCATCCAGGAGGCTCGGCGCTGGAGCCCACTGCAGGCAGGGGAGCTCAGACATGGTGGGCTGCAGGTCCTGAGCCCTGCCTAGTGGGGAGGCAGCAAAGAATTTGAGTGCAACACCGGCAGGCTGGGAGACTGGCACTGCTGGGGGACCCTGCGCAACCTCCGCAGCTGCTGGCCCTCGTGCTAAGCCCTTCACTGCCCTGGGCGGGTGGCCCCGGCTGGCTGCTCCATGTGCCGGCCGCTGAGCCAGAGTCCACGCCCCTGTCCACCCCTGCAGGAACTTGCACTGGCCCAAGAGCGCGGCCCACAGCCCCAGTTCCCACCTGCGCCTCTCCTTCCACAACTGCCCGCAAGCAGAGGGAGGTGGCTTCGGCCTCAGCCAGCCCAGAGAGGGGCTCCCACAGTGCCCTGGTGGGCTGAAGGACTCCTCAAGCACCACCAGAGTGGATGCCGAGGCGGAGGAGGCGCTGAGAATGAGGGCTGCTAGCACATTGTCACCTCTCAAGGTGTGTCCCAATTAGGCTACTCAGGGGTCAGGGGAGGCAATCTGTTCATTCTCAGATCTCACACTCCATGCTGGGAGAACCACTACTCTCTTCAAAGCTGTCACACAGGGATGTTTAAGTCTGAAGAAGTTTCTGCTACCTTTTGTTCAGCTATGCCCTCTCCCCAGAGGTGGAGTCTATAGAGGCAGTCAGGCCTCCTTGAGCTGTGGTGGGCTCCACCAAGTTCGAGCTTCCTGGCTGCTTTGTTTACCTACTCAAGCCTCAGCAATGGTGGACGCCCCTCCCCCAGCCTCACTGCTGCCTTGCAGTTGGATCTCAGACTGCTGTGCTAGCAGTGAGTGAGGCTCCGTGGGCATGGGACCCTCCGAGCCAGGCGTGGGATATAATCTCCTGGTGTGCCCTTTGCTAAGACTGTTGGAAAAGCGCAGTATTAGGGTGGGAATGTCCCAATTTTCCAGGTACTGTCTGTCACAGCTTCCCATGGCTAGGAAAGGGAATTCCCCCACTCCTTGCACTTCCTGGGTGAGACAACACCCCACCCTGCTTTAGCGCACGCTCCGTGTACTGCACCCACTGTCTGACAAGCCCCAGTGAGATGAACCCAGTTCCTCAGTTGGAAATGCAGAAATCACCCATCTTCTGTGTCGCTCATGCTGGGAGCTGTAGACTGGAGCTGTTCCTACTCAGCCATCTTGGAACCTCTATCAGGTAGTTATAAGTAAGGAAACAATAGGTGCTGGAGAAGATGTGGAGAAATAGGAACACATTTATACTGTTGTTAGTACTGTAAACTAGTTCAACCATTGTGGAAGACAGGCGATTCCTCAAGGATCTAGAACTAGAAATACATTTGACCCAGCCATCCTATTACTGGGAATATGCCCAAAGGATTATAAATCATGCTGCTGCTGTAAAGACACATGCATAGGTATGTTTACTGTGGCACTATTCACAATAGCACAGACTTGGAACCAACCCAAATGTCCATCAATGATAGACTGAATTAAGAAAATGTGGCACATATACACCATAGAATATTATGCAGCCATAAAAAAAGGATGAGTTCATGTCCTTTACTGGGACATGGATGAAACTGGAAACCGTCATTCTGAGCACACTATGGCAAGGACAGAAAACCAAACACCACATGTTCTCACTCGGTGGGAATTGAACAATGAGGACACTTGGACACGGGGTGGGGAACATCACACAAAGGGGCGTGTAGTGGAGTTGAGGGAGAGGGGAGGGATAGCATTAGGAGATGTACCTAATGTGAATGGCACATGTATACATATGTAACAAACCTGCACGTTGTGCACATGCACCCTAGAACTTAATAGTATAATAAAAATAGAAAAGTAAAAAGAATACATTAGAGAATATTTCTATGTTGAAAATTATTTTATTAGATAATTTTAGTCACTTCTATAAGTCAGAACCAGTTCTCTACTCTCTCATTTGACCCTGAGTCACAATAAAAATTCTGCCTGTGGCCATTTGGTAAATGTGTGTGGGGGTATGTCTTTAGAGTCAGAGAATAGGGAATATTTCTGTGTTAAAAATTATTTTCTTGGATAATTTCAGTCACTCCTATAAGTCAGAACCTGTTCTCTCTGTAATTATGCCTTGAGTGAAATCAAAAATTCTGTCCATGACCACTTGGTAAATACATGTGTGTCTTGTTTGTGTGTTTTTCAGGGACCACTGACATTTAGGGATGTGACTGTAGAATTCTCTCTGGAGGAGTGGCAATGCCTGGACACTGTTCAGCAGAATTTATATAGGGATGTGATGTTAGAGAACTACAGAAACCTGGTCTTCCTGGGTGAGGATAACATCAATACTCAATTCCTAATGTACTCTAAATACTTCATTTTTGGTTTTTTTGTAGAATTATTTGGTAATTTGGTCATTTTTGATAATTTTTTTTTTTGCATAAATGAGTTTCAAACCCCTGTTTTCAAGAAAATCATAAGGATTTGTCAGTGTAGGAAAAAGAAAATTCAAGATGTTTCATCTTGAGCTGAACTTTCCACATTGCTGAACTGATGTGTATCCCTCATTCTAGATTAGTGGTAATTCCAGAAATTTAGTGGTGTAAAATACTATTGCCCACACCTTAAAATCTAATTGCTACCACCAATTTTTTAATTCAGTACTACTGGGTAGTGAATTAAGAACCTACAAATATACAGTGTTTTCTAAATATTTTTTTTTTAATTTTTATAAATTAGTATTTTGGGATAAATGTATTAGAATATTGTATTACATCCTCTTTACTGAGCACATTACTAAGTTGGTAATTGGAGAATATGAGCAAGATGCATGTTACTTATTTTTAATAAAACAGGTATTGCTGTCTCTAAGCCAGACCTGATCACCTGTCTGGAGCAAGGAAAAGAGCCCTGGAATATGAAGAGACATGAGATGGTAGCCAAACCCCCAGGTAGGTGAGAGTGAAAGCCAATACAACAGATGACACAGATGAGAGATCCAAAGGTCAAGGAGAAAGAAAGCAAGTCCTTAAAATGTCATTTGGGAAGCTGTGTTCCAAAGGGTATAGTTTCTGGAAGTCTGAGGCTTGTTTTTTTTTTTTTTTTCTTTGTTCTCACATAGGGGCATTTTCTGTCTTATGCTTTTAAATTCTCTAAAGATTCTACTTTCAGTCATTTTTCTTCAAGTTTACAGTGAGAGCCAAAGTACTCATGGCATATAAGAGACTGTACAATCTGACTCCTTTTTCATTGTTTTTAGGGACACAAATATCTGCATAATTTTCAAAAACTCTATGTTAAGCTGTTTTTTAAGTTCTGTTTTTGCATCATGTCTGAAATGAATGGAGTAGTGGTTTCTTTTCCATTGAATTTTTAATTTTTCTGCACATTCCATCTTTTTAGTATATTACTGAGAGAGAGTTTGGAATGATAAAATATGATGTCGTTCTGCTTTATTTTTTTTCCTCCAGATTGCTTTGGCTATTCAAAGTTTATTGTAGTTTCATGTAAACTTTAGTCTTGTATTTTCCATTACTGTGAAAAAAACTTGCCACTGGAATTTTTATAGGGAGCTTATTGAATCTGTATTTATTGAATCTATATTCTTTCAACTCAGACTCATAAAACATTTTTAAATTTATTTATGTCTTTTCTATTTCTTTTCTTAGCTATCTTATATCTTTCAATGTAAAGAATTTTTATCTCCTTGGTCTTTGTTCTCAGAGAGAAATTTATTTATTTATTTATTTGTTTGTTTGTTTATTCATTCATTTATTTATTTATTTATGTTTTTGAGATGTAGTTTCACTCTTCTTGCCCAAAATAGAGTGCAATGGTGTGGTCGCAGCTCACTGCTAACTCCACCTCCTGGGTTCTAGCAATTCTCCTGCCTCAGCCTTTCAAGCAGCTGGGATTACAGGCACCTGCCACCATGCCCAGCTAATTTTTGTATTTTTAGTAGAGATGAGGTTTCACCATGTTGGTCAGGCTAGTCTTGAACTCCTGACCTCAGATGATCCACCCTCCTTGGCCTCCCAAACAACTGGGATTACAGGTGTGAGCCACTGTGCCCAGCCAGAAATTTATTATTTTAATGCTATTGTAAATAAGATTTTTTTTTTGTCTATTTTATCAGATAGTTTGTCTTAAGTGTATGGGACCATAACTTGAATGTTAATTTTATATTTTGTGAATTTACTGAGTTTATTAACTTAGACAGGTTTTAATGCACTGCTTATGGTTTTCTATATATAAGATCATGTAATCTACAAACAGCAAATTTTTACTTATTTGTCTTCAGTTTCAATGGCTTTTTGAAAATTGTTTTGACTAATTGTTCTGCCACATACTTCAGTGCTATGTTAAAATGGAAGCATTGACAAGCTGCACAATATAATTTTGCATTTGGTGTCTGTGAATTTGAAGGAGCAAACACCTCTTCAAGTTGCTATAAACTGGTTTCAGGAGGTAAAGATCTTCCATTGGGCCCCCAGGGTGATGGGATTCCCACTGGGTTTGTGATGGAGAGGGGTTGTAGCTTGGTCACAAGATTGCTGGGTCTGCACTAGCATCCACCTTTAGTTGGCTTGTTACAAGGGGCTTAGATAGTTGTAATTCCCATATTATTTTTGGACAGACTGGATATCCTTCAAAATTTTGCTCTGTAGGGCAGACACTAGGGCAGGTTTTTGTAGTTGGGTCTGTATATAATGTACCTTACATCGGGATGTAAATGAGTATGGCTTTTGCTGAGTACCACAGAGGATTTCCTCGGGTCACTGTGTTGCTTTCTAGGTAAAGAGAACTGGCCATAAACTGTGGCCCAGGAAGCTGGAACTGAAACTTTGAACTGCTAAAGGCACCACATTAAAAGCCAGGGTCTGCAGGCCTGCCCCCATGGCTATAAACGGGTGTCTTCCTCCAGGCCTGTGAAAGTAAAGAATCTCTCCCAGACTGTGGCTGAAAGGATTTTGAAGTAATTAGAGTAAATTCAGAATTCTCAGTGGGACCAAGGTGGGTTGGCCATTTCCTGTACTGTAGCCAAGACCAGGGATCCTGTAGTTTGCCACTGGAATGAGAGCCTACCTTCTGAAGGGAACACTCTTCAATCTTTGGCTTAGCAGAATTTCACAACTTCATCCCTGGACCTTAAAGATCTCTTAAAGGCAGTTATTTTGGAGATGGGGTCTTGCTACATAACCCAGACTGGTTTTGAAATCCTACCCTGAAGCGATTCTCCACCCTTAACATATCATGTAGCTGTTATTACAGGTTCAAGCCATGAGGACTGGTTCTCTCATAAAGGTATTTTTGTCAGGGATGGCCAACAAATTTTCTTCCTGTGGCGGAATAGACAAATAGGACACCTTTTATTTTTCCATCTTACTAATGTCACCCTTTCTACAAATTTTTAATTTCTATTTTCTGTTTCAAATTTGCCTGTAATTTTAGATTCTGACATTAGGAACAATAAACTAGAATTTACATGTTATGTTTGAAGTAAATTAGATAATTAGTAGGCACTCCATATTTACTAACATAGTTACTTATAAATTTAAGTTTGCTGCAGGCAAACAGGAATTATAAGCTTTTCACCCACTTTCTCTAGCCTATATCTAAATAATAACAATTTATGTCTCAATATTTGTTTTATATAACAGACTCTAACCATAATCTATATATAATATGTATATAAAATATATAATAATATATATTAAATTACATACATATAATTTAGCAATGTAAGGCTATTCCTTGCTTCTAAACTTGAATTACAGCAGTTTCATTTTGTGAAAGAATAACATACAATTAAAACATAAACATGATCTCTAGTTTATTTTAAATGCTTATTTATTAAATGTTTCTCATTAGAATCTTCTATTTATGATTATACTGCATTTTCTCTAAACTTTTACTGCCACATAGTGCCTGTCAGTGATTCAAAATACCTGCCTTCAGTAAGTACACAGTTACTGTCAAATATTGTAGCTATCTAGACAATTTTTTTTTAATGGTACATCAATGTTGCATACCAGATTATATGAGTAAACATTTTATTATTGTTTTGCAGTTCTATGTTTGTGTTTTTTTCAGTGTAGGTTTCTTAACATCAGTTCATTGCGAGTTTTTTGTTTTACTTACGTACTATAATTTTAGACAATTTGCAGTTCTGTTTGTACACTTTAAGTCAATATACGAGATAAACCATCCAGGCTGGGCACAGTGGCTCACAGCTTTAATCTTAGCACTTTGGGAGGCCGAGGTGGGTGGATCACCTGAGGTCAGGAGTTTGCGACCAGCCTGACCACTTTGGTGAAACCCTGTCTCTACTAAAAATACAAAAAATTAGCCGGGCATGGTGGCGTGCACCTGTACCTGTAATCCCAGCTACTCGGGAGGGTGAGGCAGGAGAATTGCTTGAACCCAGTAGGCAGAGGTTTCAGTGAGCCAAGATCATGCCATTGCACTCCAGCTTGGGTGACAGAGCAAGACTCCTCAAGGAAAAAAAAAGAGATAAACCATTCATCCATTCATATGTCTGTCATGATCAGATTATATAGGTGTGTGTTATTATCTATACCCCAATTTTGGTTATCGCCTATGTATATATTTTTTAGCTGATTTTTAGTTGTTTTGTCTAAGTGAGTAGTCATGGAAATAGTCTTATTTTCACCATGTGTTTAGTGAATATATATTTTTTTGTGTTAAAAACTTCTGTGGCCGGGCGCGGTGGCTCAAGCCTGTAATCCCAGCACTTAGGGAGGCCGAGACGGGCGGATCACGAGGTCAGGAGATCGAGACCATCCTGGCTAACACGGTGAAACCCCGTCTCTACTAAAAATACAAAAAAACTAGCCGGGCGAGGTGGCGGGCGCCTGTAGTCCCAGCTACTCCGGAGGCTGAGGCAGGAGAATGGCGTGAACCCGGGAGGCGGAGCTTGCAGTGAGCTGAGATCCGGCCACTGCCTCCCGGCCCGGGCTACAGAGCAAGACTCCGTCTCAAAAAAAAAAAAAAAAAAAAAAAAAAAAAAAAAAAAAAAAAAAAAAAAACTTCTGTGATTTGAAGGTATTCTTTTTTTAATATTCTTTCTTTTTTGTCATTTTTTTGAAGTTAATTTTTGAAAGGATTTATAACTGTATTTTTTTCAGTTTTTCTCCTAAAACATTTATTGTTGAAAAAATAGATAACATAAAATTTACCATCTTTTTTTGAGATGGAATCTTGCTCTGCTACCTAGACTGGACTGCAGTGGCATAATGTCGGCTCATTGTAACCTTTGCCTCCCTGCAACCTTCGCCTCCCGCATTCAAGCAATTCTCCTGCCTCAGCCTCCTGAGTAGCTGGGATTATAGCCACAGGCAACCACACCCAGATAATTTTTGTATTTTTAGAAGAGATGGGGTTTCACCACATTGGCCAGGCTGATCTTGAACTCCTGACCTCAAGTGATCTGCCTGCCCCGGCCTCCCAATGTGCTGGGATTATAGGTGTCAGCCACCACGCCTGGCCTAAAATTTACCATCTTTAATCTATTTATGTGTACATTTCAGTCCTAGGAAGGTGGTGGCTCACATCAATAATAGCAGCATTTTGGGAGGCCAAGTCAGAAGGATTACTTGAGCCCAAAATATGGAGACCAGCCTGAGCAACATATAAAGACCTCCCCTCTGCAAAAAAAAAAAAATTAATAGCCATCCATGGTAGTGTGTACCTGTTGCCCTAGCTATTTGGGAGCTTGAGTGGAGAGTATTATTTGAACCTGGGAGTTTGAGGCTGCAGTGAGCCATAGTTGTACCACTGCAATCCAGCTTGGGTGACAAAACCCTGTTTCCAAAAAAATGGCATATATTTCAGGCATGTTAAGTACATTCACATTGTTGTACAAGAGACTTCTAGAAATTTTCCATCTTGTAAAACTAAAACTCAATACCCATTAAGTAAAAACAACCCA